GCGACCTCTTCAACGAGATGAAGCGCGCCGCCGGGACTACCTTGAGCGATAGTATTTTACATGACTTATGGCTCAGTCGCTTGCCACCCTACGCGCAGGCAGCCATCATCGCCACCAACGTACCAACGGTGGATAAATTAAAAATCGCTGACTCTATCTGCGAGTCATTTCAGTTGCGTGAAGGGCAGGTGCACGAGGTAAGCAATCCACCACACACCTCTGAGGCAGACTTGCGAGCCGAGGTAGCTGCGCTTAGACAACGCTTCGATGAGGTTGCAAACGGCAGGAAGGTGCGTCGCCCCAGATCTAGGACTCCGGCACGCAACCGAGATGCCAGTAGTGGCGGTGCTAGCGATTTGTGTTGGTATCACTCCAAGTTCGGCCGCAACGCCCGAAAATGTAGGCAGCCGTGTAAGTACGGGCAGCCAACAGCGAATAACGCCCAATAGCAATGCTCAGCCAGCGGCATTTTAGATACCGGCAAACAATCTGAAATGCCATCGAACCGCCGTCTAGACATCTTTGACACATCAACTCAGATCCACTTTTTAATTGACTCCGGTGCAGACGTGTCAACCATACCCAAGAGCTCGACGCTGGCTCGAGTTTCAACATCGGATACACACCTGTTTGCTGCTAATGGCTCGCTCGATTCAAGTATTTGGCGAGGTTTTGTTAAAACTCAACCTCAACCTGCGTAGAGAATTCGTGTGGAAATTCGTCATCGCGGACGTGACCCAAGCAATTATTGGCGCCGATTTTTTGTCGCACTTCGATCTTCTACCAGACCTTAACGGGCGCCGTCTACTTGATCGGAAGACAGCGCTGAAAACGGTTTGTACAGTGGGAGATTCCCAATAATAATACTCAATTGTTTCTTTAAAAATTTTTTCATGGTAACTATATTTTATAGGTCCTCCAAAGCCCTTAGAAAATGCAATGGGGGGACCAATAAAAAATCTTTAATCATAAAAAATGGTTAAATAAACTATTGGATATTAGTCTCCTGAAGAGAACCATAGTTTTCCGGTCGAAAAATATTGAGTTTCAAGAGTTTTATACCATTCCTACGAAAAATTGTTTTTTCTCCATATAAAATACATGGAAAACTTTGAACGCTTTGAGCACTTCCTAAATATTTTTTGATTTCAAAATAAAAAAATAGGGGTATATTTTTTCGATATGGATCAATCCTAGGGTGTGCCGGCATTAAAACTCCGACTTTATTTTTTTGGACCACTCTAATGTACATGCCTGGTGTATGTGGGTAAGCATGTCGTATGTTCATACATATTTACAACGTAGGATAGATTTGTGGTAGGTTGTGGCTGCAAATGTTGTAGCGTAGTGAATGCTACGTTACACGCTGATTAGTTAAACTTCTCTCGAACAAAACCTCATTGCTTCTCAACATTTAAATGCCATTTTTTAATGAACGGATACCGTTAAATTGTAACTAGTATTATCATTAACTCGATTTTTTTTTGGAAAGGTGACTTATGACACTGTCAAAATAAACGGCTCATATATTCTTCCAACATTTGCTTTGCGGCCACAATCATATCTCTGTACTGGTTCATTCCGAGTGGTGGCATTGCTAGTTCTGGCAACTAGATTTTGCAGAACCGTTTCACAAGATTTCCTTACCAGATCGGCATGTTGATGCAAAGGCAGAGGATGTGAAGCATGAAGGGATCATGCTAATGGATCTGAAGCTTTTAGGGCTAGTATAGTCGTCCCTCCAACTTTAGGGACAGAGATGGATGCCGATGTCCAGAACGTACTTAAATTTTCGAGGGAACACTTTTCCTCCCTATTGAATGGCAGCAGCACTGAAAGAAGTTTAGAAGACGAACTGGAGCCCCCAGTCGATGACGATTGAGTCGATGTCCCACCGCCTGATTATAACGAAGTACGAACAGCGATTATGCGGCTGAAAAACAACAAAGCTGCTGGATCTGACGGCTTGCCAGCCGAGCTATTCAAGTACGGTGGCGAGGACTTGATAAGGCTCTGGTGGTGAGCGAGGACAAAACGAAGTATCTCCTGTCATCACACAAACAGTCAGAGCATACGCGTCTTTGCATACACGGCAGTTACAAGTTTGAAAATACCAATAATATTGTCAGCCATGAAATCCAACGGGGAATTACTCTTGCCAACAAGTGCTACTTTGTACTAAGTAGGAAATTGCGAAATAAAGTCCTCTCTCGTACCNATTATGCGGCTGAAAAACAACAAAGCTGCTGGATCTGACGGCTTGCCAGCCGAGCTATTCAAGTACGGTGGCGAGGACTTGATAAGGCTCTGGTGGTGAGCGAGGACAAAACGAAGTATCTCCTGTCATCACACAAACAGTCAGAGCATACGCGTCTTTGCATACACGGCAGTTACAAGTTTGAAAATACCAATAATATTGTCAGCCATGAAATCCAACGGGGAATTACTCTTGCCAACAAGTGCTACTTTGTACTAAGTAGGAAATTGAGAAATAAAGTCCTCTCTCGTACCAAGATCACACTCTATAAGTTACTCATCATGCCTGTGCTGGTGTATGGCGCGGAGGTATGAACAATGGAAACATCTTGTGAAGCGGTTCTTGGAGTTTTTGAGAGAGATTTGGTGGTAGTGGCAGTTGTGGATATTTCGTATTAAAAGCGAGTTTGAGTGATGGTGCCTTTAATTATAAAAAAAGGAATATATGAATACATATGTATGTATGTATACCTTTAAAAAACTGCTTTAACATTTGCAAATAGTGCATTAACGTCTGGAAATTCTGATCTTATGAATTCTGCAATTCTATGAATGCCGTGCGCAAAGCATGTTAAATGTATCATTCTCGGAAATAATATCTGGAGAGATCGAACTGCACTCAACTTGTAGGCTGCTGTATCTGTTACAACAGCAAAAATGTACTGAAAATAAAACTAAGTTATTTTTGCAACAAAAGTTAATACATATTTAACTTTCTGGCCACAGTAAATTTAAAAAATCGTTGAAGGATGCAGCTGCATTACTCGCATTAGACGCATCCAGTTGAGCTATGTTGAGTAAATAGGATTTCCCTACTTCAGTATCGCCACCATCTAATATGCCGAACATAAAATTGGCAATTAATCGCTGTCTTTCATCCGTCGTTTCATCAATTGAGACCCATATTTTTCTGTCCTTGGCTTTTGATCGCATATATTGAAGGCGTTCTTCGTATAAAATGGGCACATACTTCGAGCGCAAGATAGATTCACTTGGCAGTTTGAACTTGGTGTATTTTTCCAATAATTCCTTAATGCTCGGATGACTTATTTTCTTAAGTGGAATGTTAGCTTCGAGAAAAGCTTTACCCAACTTCTTCCTCAATACAATTTGGTAGAAGCGGCTGAATAGTTTTTTTTGCGTTTCAATGCTTCTTTGTGCTTGTCCGTATTGAGGTGTTGCTTCACACAAAATATTTTTTTGCTGATATTGAGCAGTTACAATAGGTGCCGAATAAAACTCGCTGGTCAGTTCGCAACACACCTGGAAACTGGTGAACAGTTTTCGCTAAATTCGAACGCAAATATTCTTTCTCTTTCGGCTTATTTTCAATGAATTTTTTAACCACCAAACACGGGATTAGCGCCAAACTTCACTATTGTAAAACAGTCGAAATATTTTTACAAGTATAGTAAAATTTTTTTACTAGAAAATAACGGGACTTTCCGTTGTTTGACAGCTTTTTCTTTTTATCAATTAAACAAACCTCGCCAGCAACCCTGGCTATCTACGCAAAGGTATTGCCAGATGAAATTATGCGAAAATTAATTTATTTATTACCAAAATCTGCACTTTAATGCATTTTCGCCAAAATATGCCTTTTGTATCAGAATATGCATTTGCATATGCAATCTTCATTTGCATATTTTTGTCTTCCCTTTTTATTAGCCATATTAGATAAATACACTACACGTATAATCATTGTTTAGAGCTGATTTGTTGACTCCGGGCACGAAATGTGGTTATTTGCGTTCCTCACGCTCTGGGCACTTTTGGCACGTGTTGACAATTTTTGATGAGTTTTTTTCAGTAAGAAGAACATAAATGTGAAAGCTTAATTGAAACAATTATGATAAAAAGAACTTTATAGTTCTATCGTACAAATCTTCAATTTATCATAAAAAACAACTCAATATAGGCGTCATGCATATTTGATAAAAATTTCCATGCCTGGCCACGTCATACAAATATGAATGACAACCATTTGAACATCTTCAATTTCTTCTGGAAAATTACCAAAATGCATTTACAATATTCTTGTTTTTATAAATCAGTCATAAAATCACAAGAAAATTAAAAAAAAAATTTTCTTAGCTAACTTCGATTCTCTACAAAAATGGTCCATATACCAAATTATATTGGACTAATACTTTAGAAGATTATTGCAATTTTAGTAAAATAAATTCATTAAATAATTTATTGATTCTTTTTTATTTTTTGAGCATGTTGAACTTTGATGGACTTGGGGGCGAGCCCAAACCAAAAAATTCCAAATTTCCCACAGATTTTTTTAAAGCATAATGAACCATAATTTTGCTATTACCAATCAAAATTCTAAAAAAACGGATTTTCGGTCCACGCTAGCGTACATGTACCATTTGAGTGTCATTAATTTTTGAATGACATGGCCTACTGTAGCATGTAACCGCCGTTCAAATTTGAATGACGCAGCCCCCATGGAAAAATTAGGGTCATTCATATTTGAATGGCGCGGCACGAAATGAGTTAAGAGAGGAAGAGAAAGACCTCTGCGTTGGAAAGACCAGGTGGAGAAGTACTTGGCTTCACTTGGCATTTTCAGTTGGTGTAAGTTGGCACAGAAGAGAAATGACTGGCGTGCTATTTTGGACTCATAAAACATAAAAAGTATTTCTAATAGCGGTTACCCCTGGGCATTCAATGGCAAATATCTGAGTGAATTTCTGCCATGAAAAAGTTTCCAATAACACATTTTTTCTTTTCTTTTCAGGGAATGTTCTTTAAGGACAGTAATACCATGGCATTTTATAATATACTTAGTGGTGCAACAATACATCTACAAATAAAAGAACGTGGTGGGCGGAAAAAATAAATAACTCCGATCCTCGATATATGTATACCGCAGCGGGCAAATAATTAAAGATAAGGTTTGGTTGTGTACGTTTTCCCCAAAAATTTAATATGTAATTTATATTGCTTTTAAATTCAATCGAAATGTCAGAATAAAGTCGACTTTAAAATTAGTGGCAGCTTTTTTGAAAGATATCCCATTGGAAATTTGTCAAAAAGCTGGCATTAACTTTCGATCCACTTTATTTTGATTATAACTACGCGCTTTTGTTTTTAAACGCGTTCAATAAACTTGTATAATAAATACAGCAGTATATAATAGCATGGAGGAATGCGTCGCATTTCCTAATTTATGCCCAAATTACGCATTTGGCTCTAGTGTAAATGAATTTTTAGCTTGTCTAACTCAAATAAGTATTATTTTTTAGTTTCGTATTACACATCGTACTACGTTTTTGAAATGTATTGCAACAGGAAAACTCGTTCTCAAGACACAACCGGACAACCCAAATTTGCATACATTCATATAGCATCTGTCCAGGGACTGTTAATTCAGCAATATTCGACAAACAGTTTAAGGAATATGTATGCTATTACAACAACAGAAAAATCAGGAAACCCCGTCGGCCAAAGAAAACAACGTATAAAGAAAGCTTTTGACCTATTTGGTTGGCCACCTCTATAAGTACATACATATAGTACGTGCAAATAAAAATAAAACTATGATAATAAAGTATACTTTTTCTTTGTATTCAGTATTTAAGAGGTAAGCTAGCCTTTCTTAAATTGTTTTAATTTATAGCTTTGTTTTACCCGATATAGTGATATCATGTGCCCAAAAAGCAGAGGAAGCATCCATAGTACAAGAAAGTAGTATATAGAGTAGCGGTTCTCAATCTTGTACCACCAAAAAACAAAGTAGATTAAACGAATAGCACAAAATAAGTACATGGATTGACCAGGGGCTCTATTCTGTAACTGTGAGTTTTCAAGTGTTTACTGAAAATTGTGTGCACTCTTCATTTTGCGATTCAGGAAGAGAGAATGAGTTTTAACTGCCACAGGTAATTTTTAGCAAAAAAAACCGACTTAAAACAAGTAATTTTTACCAAAAAAAAAACCGACTTAAAAAAAAATATATACAGTGACGAGCAAAACTGTAACATGATGTAACACTTTTTATTTCAGCCACCGCTATCTTTCAAAGTTCTAACGACTTTCATACTTTTGTTGTATATTCTTGTTGGCACACCCCTACTCCCGCTCTCATAACGATTTTAAGTCAATCCAACAACAATAAAAAAACCTGGAGACAAAAATGTAAGTTAAGGCAAATGTTACAGTTTTGCACTCACTCTCAGTTTGGCATTTTACAGTTATCTTTTGCTTATTTGGAAGTCAGATGACTTTTTTCTACATTGCAATTTATTCAAGAAGTGATCACCAATAAATAATATGGTTAATCAGGAAACATAAATGTAAATAATAG